CACACTAGTTCGAGCTCCGTCACCCGGGCGGGCTTCCCAGACCGGCGCTTCCCTGCCTCACTGCGCTGCGGCTTCGGCCCTGAGGTGAGAAGGGCGCCGAGGGCGGCGGCTTGGGAGGCTCGCCCGCTCGGGGGTGTCGCCTCCCAGGGACTGAAGGGGGGCCGGGGGCGGTCGGAGGCGGCAGCGAGGGGCTGGCGAGAGAGCGGAGACGGGGAGTGGCGGGAGGACTCGGGGGTCTGAGGTGTGGGGTGCAGGGGGCTTCGAAAAGGGGCAGAGCCGAGAGCCAAGCGGGGACCCGAGACGCTTCCCCGGTGGGAGGAGCGCGGTTGGCCGCCTGCCCTGTTGGGGTTCGGGCGCTGAGGGGGCGCACGATCTGGCGGCTCAGGGCGGCGCGGGTCGTTTCGCCCCTCAGGGCAACGTTGCGGGGGCACCCCTGGACGTCCCTTCTCCCGGAGCCTCGGGCTTCTGTGCACGCGTGTCCCTTGGGGGCTTTCGTGCTGCTGTCAGCGTGTGTATTAAAGAGTTGGGGCGCGACGAAAATGCGCAGCTCGCGTGACCCGATTTGGGGGGACGCACCCCGATTCCTCACTCCACGGAGAAGCTCCGCTAGCAAACACCCCTCGGCGCCGGGGAGAGCTCCCTGGGCTGCTGGGGGCGCCGCTCGCCGTCTCGGTGACCGCGGGTTTGGGGGGCTTCTCCCGCCCCGCAGGCGGGAGGGACGTTTGAAAAGAAACGAGTCTGAAGGGGAAAAGACACATCGCGTTTCTTGAGAGTCCAGGACGTTTTGAAGGGGCAGAGAGAAAAGGCGATGTGTTGGTTTCTCCTTTCATCCTGGGGGGCAGAGGTGGAAAATGGGTCGCCCCGAGGTTGTCACCAGGTGAGGCCCCAGCTGGCAAGATGGTAGAGCTGAGATGCCAGACCCAGGTGCCACGCTAATTCTGCTGTCTCGCCACTAGATTTTGGCCGCCCTGGCAGCGACGTTACATATGTTTAGGAAAGACACCATGCAAGACAGCGTTACTAGGGAAGTCAAGGTTTTTGAGGTATTTTGGTTAAAAATCGGGCTAACAAGGTGCCTAGAACTTGTGCCATTGAAGCGTCTTTTCCTACAAACAGGATGGGGGGGGGGCTTCAAAATGTATTAATGCATTTCAGGCCACTTGATGTCTTTTATATCCAAAATCTGTTATGTACCAGGATTACTAAAATGAATAATATCCGCTGTTGATCTTAATTGGGAGGATGCCACGTACAAGAATTAAGTGATCGTCGACTAAATTGCCGTCTTTCCTTGTGTGTTACCTGATTGGGCTAATAGTTGTGTTAAGCACAGGCTGTTAGAAACCTGTTCTGTGTGAGAAAGGCATTGGATAATTTGTCAGGTGGGTGCCATTGCACTGTCATTTTCCCACTCGGCAAAAAATAGTGGTCATAAAATTTAAGTTAAATCATAGCGACAATTAGCATTTTATTGCACTGCTGTCTGTGAATTTTAAAACACTAGAGAAGAAGAGAACATCTATAATTTATCCCCGTTGAGTTAAAAGTCTTGATTTTAATAATGCTTTTGTTTTATTAGTTGAGAAGCCATGATGTGAGAAATTCTTTCAAGTCACCTGCAAATACTGTTCCTAACCTTGTCTTTCAAATACTGTTCATGACCTCTTCTTTCAAAAAAAATAAATCTTAAAAGTGTAGCTCATGCCAGATTCCATTTAAAATTTCTGTGGCTCAGAATTTTAATGAAAACAGTCTTTAAGCGGAAACAGCACTATATAGAAATATGTCAACAGAACCTTATGCACGGTGATAGGTCTGTGGATATATGAAGGATAGTTGGAGGTTGGGGAATTTTTCTTCTTATTGCTTCGATTTCCTCAGTGAAGTAGTAAGAGAGCAGTGAAAGCTTTGGAGGTTTGGGAATTGGAAGAATGAATGAACTAGTGAAATAATATGATTGTTAGACAATTAATTATTCTTAGGTATGAAAAGTGTAGTGGAGAAAATGCAGGGTGTCATAGGCACAGAATGAAACTACCTGCTCTAATTTTGCATACAGGTATTCTGAAGATCATTTTCCGTGCCTGTTCCACTGTTATCTAGAGCTCAGACTAGCTCCGGTTGACCGGGTTCACTTTGCCCATGCCTCTGCGGTAGCTCAGATTTTCTTATATAAGTCAAGCCCTTTTGGGAGTCCAGCTTCTCTGTTCTTTTCGCCCTCTGCCTGGAACTTCCATTCTGTTCTTTCCCTCACTTAGCACATCATGGTAATTTTTCTTTGATATAATGGACATATACCATTAGTTTTAGGTATACAGCATAATGGTTCACTATATGTACATAGTGTGAAATGATCACTGTAAATCTCATTTTATATTAAATTTTAGCTGTCTGCAACGTCTAACTTGAGCGTCTAACTTGTTTTCTTTAAAAAAAAAATTACACTCAGTGCATAAATTCCTAGTAAATGTTAAACAAAGGTGCTGCTTTTCTTTTTACTCCTTTATTCTGTAACAGAGATCAGCAAACTTTTCCTGTAGAGTCAGATAGTAAATATTTTAGGTTTCACAGACCATATGGCTTCTGTCTCAATATTTCACTCCACAGTTGTAGCACAAAAGCAGTCATACAAACACAGAAGTGGATGAATATGGCTGGGTTCCAGTAACACTTTATAGATACGAAATTTGATTTGATCAAATAATTTTTGCACATCACAAAATATTATTTTCCCCCATTTTATTTTACATTTTTAAAAATGTAAAAAAACACTGAACTCATAGACTGTACAAAACAATGGATGCATTTACCTTAATCATCTTTTTTGTATTATTTGTAGATCTTTGATCTCTGACGGCCTCAGCAAACCTTGATAGAGGAACTTAACAGTAAGATGATATTGGCTATAGTATTACCATTGGTAGTAGAAAAGCAAAGATAAATAAGCTTGTTTTTTTGATCAGGCTCTCAGGGTCCAGTTCAAGATTTAAGATGTCTAAACAAATGACACAGTTAAACAACTTGCAGTTATGCTTATCAGTTGGATATAGATGTGGAAGAAAGGAGTGGTACTCAGTTTTGCTTGGCTGGGATAGAAATAACCTCTGACAGTCATCTGGCAGACGGGGAATGCATTTTCACCTAAGCATCCTGAGAAAGTGACTGACCATATATCTTACCAGGATGACTGTCCACATCAGGATGACTTCATTGCCCTATTTTATTGGATATAATCTTTATTCAGTTCTCTCAGAAATAAAATGCATACATTCTAAATTTTTCTTTAACAGATATTTCTAAAGTTACTATCCATTTTTTAAAAAAGATTTATTTTATTTATTTATGTACACAAAAGCTGGCTGGGTGTAGACCAGAGGTGTGGGACAGGGGTGGTGATGGTGGTAAGAGGATTTACCACAGACAGAGTTGGGAGCACAACAGGCAGATCTAAAATAAACTCCTGAGGGGAGGAAACAGTAGGGAGGCAGGAGAGGTCTGCTGGGCCATGTGGGTCAGCTCCCTGGCTGGGGGTTGAACTGGTGCTGCAGTGGCTATGGGCAGCTTCAGAGTGCTGAAACTAACCCTTGTGCCACCAGAAGGCCCCATATTCAATTTTTGTTGCTTTGGAAATGTAGAACATTTCATGCCATGTGTAGAGTTGCAATCAATAATTCTTTAATAGATGAATGAATTTTTGAGTTGAATTTTTAATTATGTGACTTCTAGTCTTTTTAAAGTCAACTAGTACATTAAAAATGAAAGCTGGACTTCAGTACTTTGAGGTTCTCTGGCAATTTCTTGGTTTTAGTATGAATTAATTTATCTAGAAAAATAGCTAGGAGTTACAAATTTGGTTAAATCTTTAGTTATAGTAAATATCTAACACTTACAAATTCTTATTTAAAGCCTTACCAATAGACACTGTATTCCCCAGGTATGCTGTGAAGCAAATGCAAAGTAACTTAATTTAAAAAAAAAAGAAAAAAGAAAAATCTTTACCTTTATTGGTGTTGTTAGAGAGTTTTCAAAGCTACTGCATTGGTAAAACTTTGAGTTGGAATTATATCAATTTTTATGCATTTTTTAGAAAGTATTATTTGCTCAAAATAATGCCATTAGAAGTGTCATTATATTTCGATTATTAACTTGTGCTTTTAAGGATCACCTAATACAGTTGCAAAAGAGGTTATATCATTGTCTACTCAAAAAGTTGCTTTCTAACAATGTAGACCCTCACTGCTCTTTCCAACTCAGTCTCAGGCTCGTGTAAACTCTGTAGTAGGTGAAATACTGGATATTTCCTCTTTTGCAACTGTTCCAACTTAACAGCCCATGTTAAAATGTGAGATAGGTCAGGTACCTTTTACTAACTTTTAGTTTCATTCTTTCAAACACCAACATAAAACTAACATTTGGGATAATTCAAAGTGATAATAGCACAGAAGGAGGATATTAAGAGTTCTGTGCTGCAATACAAGTTTTCACAGAAAAGGACCTGGGAGATTAAACTACATAGATGCCCCCTTGCCATTAATTTTCAGGGACAAGGTAGTTTCAGCATTTGAAGAAGAATATTTTCCTGTGCACACTATAATTTGCAAGGAATCTTTTACAAAGAAGTCAGTATTTGACATTATTATGTAGAACAGTCCTGGCTTGATTTATTTCCCATTGCCTTTTTCAAATTGGACCTGATTAGGTACTGAGTTGTGGAGGCTGAGGAGGACAAATTTGGTTTATTGTTAGTTTAAAAGGCCTGACTCTAGCTTTGAAGTCAATTACTAGATGAACATTAAGTTAAAGATATACAAATAATCTATGTTAAGAATTTTTTAATAGAAACAGGGCCATGTAAGATTAAATTAAGTTCAGATGTACCATACATATTTATTTCTATTGAATTGAAATAATCATTTCAATAGGTATAGGGACGATTCATCACCATATTGTTTAAAAACTTTTTTTCTCTTGTGAGGAATGTTTCATTTTTAAAAATCAAAGTGCCAAACCAAGTATTTCATATTATGAAGAAAATAAGCAGTGACTTGTGTTTTCTTCTTAATGCTTTTTTTAAATAACATGAATAAGATAGGAACTCAGGGTCATTCAAATGTAATGTTTTCACATGGTTAGACTAAAACTTAAGAATATAAGGAAACATCAACTTGTTCAGTCATAGTCACAGTATTATACTTATACACACATAGTATGAAATTATTTGTTTGTAGCAGAGTCCATACTTTTCTAATTTCTTTTGTTCATTTGCCATCACTCTTGGGATTTCTGACTAAATCTAGATCATTCTAACTCACCAGTTTGCCATCAAATGCCATTCGCCCTCTCTACTAAGATTTTTATTTCTATCCACTTCATTTCCAAGTTCTCTAACAGCTTTTTTCTTAATGGCTTTGTTACTATTTCATGAACATAATGTTCTTTGCTATCCCTTTTAGGATACTAGTTACACTATTATACAGTAGTGATGACCTTACCCTGTGCCAGGCATCATTTCCCACTTTGCATTATTGATTCTGACAACCCAGAAGACGGTAGTATTTATTCATTTCCATTTTACAGATGAGAAAATTTAGACTCAGGAGAGATTAGTAATTTTTCAGTGTCCTGAAGCTAATAGTGGCAGAGACAGGATTCATGCTTAGTTGGTTTGGTTCCAGAGGTCACACTCTTAAAGGCTTAAAGGCTTGCTTCAGGCATTATTAATTTGTAGGTTTGTTGATTTACTTGCCTCCTTGTTGTGGTTTTGTTTTTCCATAAATGTTTACCGACTCTGGTTTCTGTGTTATCTTGTAAGATTCCTTTTCAGCATGTTTGATGCTGGTTGGCTTTACTGTAGCCTGTTTTGTTTGATTGTGTGTGCTGGGAGAGAGAGGACAGTGCCTGGCTGCTGGAAGTCAGCCGTCTCTCCAGCTGGCTCTGCCTCTCAGTTTAGATGCCCAGTCACTATTCCACTGAAGGCAATGAAGCGCTCAAGCTGGTAGGTAAAGCTCTTCTTAAAAAGGCATTTCCGGGCCCTCCCTGGTGGCGCAG